CACTGATGAAAGGGCACATATCCAAAGAAACTTAGCCAACACCCTCTCCCTCATTATATACATATTTATTCCAACAGCTTACAAAACTACAACGATTATGTGTTTTCTAAAAGTGCTTAGAGAAGGAGGCCTGTCCTGCTAAATGCCCTCTGCTTGTGAATCTGGCTGACAACTTGCAGATTTTGTTTCTTGCTGTAGAAATAGGTGAGAAAGACTGGGCTGATCTTCCAATACAGATAAGTGATTTCCTTCAGGGGGTGTAAGAAGAGTGGCAAAAGGGTTGTATTTTCATTCCTGGCGCGATTATTATCAGCTCCTTAGCAGCACATTGCGTAGTATGCTTGGTGAGAAAAGCCTTTTTGCCCCAGGATCTTTTCCTTTCATTCCTCGGGCGGGTGCAAAGGTAATAAAGGAGCTGAAGACCTATTCAGCCGAGAGAGCCAAGCATTTATGTTCCAGCATTTGGTGTTCCAGGCCAGATAGCACCAAGTAGGCAAACCCTGAACTGGAATTAGGTTGATTGATTGTTATTTATCCTTGTCTGCGTGTCTCGGGATGGGTGGGGTGTTTTCCTCCCCCAGCTCTCAGCGCCCGCATCGGAGCCGCGCTGCCGCCCTCTCCCGGCTCCGAGCGCTGCAAAACCTTCCAGACCTCCGCATTCCCAGCACTGACAGCCACACCGACTAACAAACAAACAAGGGGGGAAATGGGAAAATAAAACCAGGGGAAACAAACAAACAAGGAGAAAACGAAAAAAAAATTTAAAAAAAAGGGGGGGGAAGGAAAGGAGAAAAGGGGAGGAAAGGAGGAAAGAAAAACAAGAGGGAAAAAAAGAAAGGGGAAAAGAAAAAAAGGGGGGAGGGAAGAGAAGAAAAAAGGAATAAGAGGAAAAAAAGAAAAGAGATAAAAGAAAAGTAGATTTAAAAGAGGAGAGAGGAGAGGAGAGGAGAGGAGAGGAGAGGATTGTTTTTCAATGAGTGTGTGGCCAAGCACTGGAACAAGGTTTCAGGCAAGTGGTGATAGTCCCAAACCTGTTGCTGTGCAATAAGCACTTGTACAATGACCCTAGATACATAGTTTCACTTTTAAGTTGTTCTATGTGGAGTCAGGATTTGTACTCAACGAACCTCACGGGTTCCCCCCAACTGAAAATATTCTAAGTATTAGCACCAAAGCTCAATCCCACTTAGTTACCCCACTTGCAGGACAGGATCTCAAAATACAATAGCAACATATTAGCAAATGCTAGCATTTCATGAAATAAGGCAAATAGACTTCTGTTGTACCATATTTTTCCCCATTAGGGTTTTTCTAAGAGTATCAAAACACTGTATGAACTACCACCACTATCAGTATCAATTCCAGCTACCAATTCTTGCTCCTGGGCCAGGGAACATTTTATGCCACACACTGTGTAAGACAGCAATGTAAAAGACAGGGAAGGAATACAGAAAGCATTATCTCCATTTCACAGTTCGGAAGAGAAGCACAAAAAGACCAAACGGAACAGCCAAAGTCCCTTGTGCACTGGGCTGAGCTGGGGATATTGCGTAAAAGCATAAGCACTTTGATTTGTTCCATCATGGCATTTCAAGGAAGCAAGAGAGGAGATGAGGGCAGATACCTCTGTGCTGTTAGTGAGGCAACATTTTTCCATTTTTACTTGTAGGGATTTTGGAGAAACAAAGATTTTCCTCCTCGTGTCGTAACTGCATGGAGGTTCTCCTGACCTTTTTCCCCCCTCCCATTTTTCCAGGTGATTAAGCTGTGCAGTCAGAAAGCATGAGTGTAATGCCAAGAAGCCAGCAATTTTAACACCACAAAAGGATAATTGTGTAATACCACAGGCCGTATTAGTTTCAGTACATACTGACCCTCAGCTGGTGATGACAGAGCGCCAACAGCTCCCAGCACAATGACTGACAGAACTGGGACATGGCAAATTGCACTTCCAAAGCCTGCAGCAGAACAAGAGTTAGGGGACTCGCTTTGCATTAAAACAGGCTTGTACCATATTCTTAGAACAAGGAATAAAGTAGGACAGCACATGACTACTTCCCTTCTAAACCATTCCACTTGAAACATCTTTCATCCTCTTCTCATTCTCCTTTGCTGGTTTGTGAAAGACAGTTGCCCATACTCCTAGTGTAACATTGCCTGGATTCTTACACTACACCACACATTTGTACTAAATTAAAGAGACTTTTGCTACCTGCAAATGTCACATTAATTGAAAGAATAGCTTAGGTTGTGACATCTATCAATGCCTGAGTAACCTCAGCTCAGTGGTGCAATTGAGCCTGAGTATATTATTGCTGTGCTAGAGGTCTCAGTGTTGTACCTGTAAAGACTGAACCATAACTGAGCCATAACTGTCCAATGTTTTGACACCACTCCCCTTCCCCCAAAAATATTTGCTCACATTTTCACTAACTGGGTGCTCTGTAATATTCCAAACCTGTATGCACGTGATGCTGCCTCAGTATTAGCAATTGGGGAACCACAGGTAACATCCTGGAGACCCCCGAGTTAACCAGAAGTAAACATACAGGTGAAATCTAGGTTGTCCCACGGATTTTCCACTCTGAGCAGAGAGGAATCTGAGTTGCATTGCTCAGCTTCAGGAGGTTTCTGCACTCTTGCCAGTTACTATTTAGCTTTAAAAGAAGACTTAGAAGATAGTTGATCCTTTTCCCACAGATCCCAGGAATTTTGCGATCTCTTCTCAACTGTGGTGTGGCTTCCCCTGTCAACATTCTCCCTACAGAATACATGGTCTGAGGCAAGGAGCCCTTCCCTGGGAAGGGAACTTGAACCCATCCAGAGCAGGAACTGAAAGGAGCCAAACATCTCTCCAGGACTTAAGGTAAGCACTGCTGTTACAAAGACAGGCTTAAACATCCCCCTTACAAAATTTAGGGCAAACTCCTACTTTTCAAGAGATAACTTACCTACCAAAGTGATGAAGAAATTCCCTCCTCTGGTCATGAGCAAGCCACTCAAAAGAGGGGTAAAATACCTTGCATCTCCTCTTGCCACCCAGCTTCTATCAGGCAAGCAGATGTGGCATGGAGGACTTGGGCCCTTAAGAAAGGAGGATTTGACAACTCAAATTCTTTTCTTCTCTCAAGTCTGTAATATTCTGGATGCGTGATTAAACTCTGAGTTGTTTAATCCTGGTGACTCAATATGTGTATAGTAAAACTAGTTTCCTGTTCCTGGACCTTTTTTAAAAAAATCAGTATTAATTTCAGCTTGTACTGACAGCTGAAACTGTAAGAAATATTAAACTAATATTTTTATATTCAGAGTGTGCTTTGAACAGAGCAGCCTTAATTTAAGAGTTATTTTAGCAGTTAATTTCCCCCAGAAAACTAAATCACTCTTTCCAAAATCCATGTACAAGCTGACTCATAACATGAAGTTCCACTCAAGCCATGGCATAGCCACAGTGGATTTAATGCAAAAGTAATTATCTCAATTTACATGGAGACCACTGAGTGTGAAAAAAACCCAGAAGAAATCTTTTAGAATTACCTAACAATCAGACTAAAAGCATGGGCAGTCTGGAAAAAGGATGTTTTTAATTCTTGAATGCCTCTAGAAAATTCTGTACCAGTAATGGAGTTTTCTATTCAATTACATGGGGTGATTTAAATACATAAAAAGGTAATTACAAAACCTCTGTTAGATTTTGCTTGAAGTGTAGCCAAGATACTATGATTTAACTGAGACTAGAATTTCAGACATGCTTTAACATGTTTTCAGTGTTACTCCCTGCAGATTCTCAATCTGTACAGATCAGGTTATTTACAGATTAAGTACCTGGAAACAAGATAGGTTACAATATGAAATATATTCAAAAACCTGGAATTAATTTTATAACTTTTGCCAAGAGAATTGGTAACATACAGCACAACTGGCCCAACATCTATAGGCCTGCTTGTAATTACTACTTTCTACTACAGCAGCTTCCTGTCTACTGCCATATGGGTAACCATTGACTCACGACAGTAGGAATGCCACTGACTCAATACTACTAAATGTCACTTTCAGAAAAGAAAATACAAGCATTGAAGTGACCAACAAAATTGAGAAATTATGCAGTTTTCTATTTGCTTTATGCAGTTTGAGGCAATTTTTACAAATTCCTTTAAACACCACAAAATGGAAAGTTGTGTAAGATATAAGTTAATTTAAACCTGCTTTGCCATTATCATGCTAAGCAGTTGACAAGGTTGTTATATAATCAGTGGTATAAAGGTCCCAAAGTAAAATCCTAAATAGTCACTACATAAAATATCACTTTAAAATAGAGTTACACTCTGTAAGAATCCTAGTTTATCAATAATCATGTATAACTAAAGAATAAGCTGATAAACTATTTTCTTTCACACATTTCTTGCCTCTCCCTCCCATCACAGTGCCAAGCCCATGTGAGCCGTGCCTGCACTACCAGAGCTGCAAGACTCAGTGCAGGAGAAGCAATCGAGGCTGGAGTGACAACAAAAGCACCAGATGTCACTGATGCCTTTTCCACACTTCAGTCCTCAGGTATCACAGCAGAACAAGGAACCCTCCTGACTCCAGGGTTTCCTAGTAAAGACAGATTTGAAGAGGCACAGCCACTCTCCTAAGAGATAAAAATAAAATGCTGATAGATTCTATTGTCAAATAAGCCTGTAAGATCAGAATTACATAGTATTAGGGTATTTTATTCCAGTTATACAGTCTAGATCACATTCAACTGTTCATTTAGCCTAGCACAAATCTCAAGTAATCCACAGGGTAAGTTCCTTTCAACCAACTTTTTAAATGAAATGTTAATGAAGGCCCATAATTTAATCTTCTGTGCCTCCATTTATAAAGTGATTTTTAAATATCATTGAATGACAGCACTTGGATACTAACAGTCCACTGCAAAGACTTCCACTGAGAAAAGAATATAAAAAGAATACCCCTATCCCCAAACACAGAAATTGTACCAAAAAAAAGCCAAATACAGGTTTGTAACAGATTTTACTTATAGAAAAGCATAATTTTAGCATCATTTCACAATAAAAAGGCAACATTTGTTTGACATTATAAAGACATGGTATATCAATTCAAAATGCAACATGTAAAGCACGTTGTAATACTCAGTATAAAAGGCTTGAGATACACTATGGCATTTAGCCAGTTACTCCTGGTGCCTCTTTGTGGATATTTCCTTAATTACAGGGTATCTTCTCTCTGCTTCATACATGCCAGAAGTATATTTTGGAATATAAAATCATGGAAGTGTTAAAATACATTGAAACATGTCCAGAAAAATCAAACCCAGGACCCATTTCTCTCTATACACAAACAGCTCTACCTTGTATATAAACTTTCTGTCCCATTATTCTGCTCCCTCTTACAAAAAAAGATTATTTTTTCCATCTTCTCACTTCTGCATTCATGCAACTTCATGATCAGGTTTCCTTTTCCAAATACTAAGATGTAAAATTAACAGTTACTTTTCCTGGGGCTTTTCCAACATCTTCAGTGCTAATCTTCCAACCATTAGCAAACTGTATAAGGGGGAAAAAAACATACAATTTAAAAATAATAACAACAATTTTCAATTAATTTTCAAATACTTCATGTAAGTGGGACAAAAATAATACACAAAATATGACTCACTCCATCTCAGTTTAATTAAGTGAATAATAAATCACACACAGGAAGTTAAAAAAAGTACTGTACCTGACACCAGCAATTAGCCCTGCAGGCATGAATTTTTTCGAGTGGTAAAATCTTGTTCCCATGATGGCAGTCAGTGCTCCAGATGTAACTTAAATGAAAGATTGTACAGTCTCATCAGCAGAGATGCATGTGTGGGAGAAACATAATTAAAAACTAACAGAACAGAGAAAAGCAGCAGCATCAAGTAAAAAGAGAAACAGGGTTACTTCACTTGAGAGACTAAGAGAGTGAATAAATTGTGTAAATTTTAAAATGCCTCAATTTGTCAAGAGTAAGTATTCTATATCAAGTTCTAGCACAGTGCACTCCATATGCTTCTGTACATAGTTTTTAAATTTGTTTTCCATAATGTGCTCTGAGACTGGAAATAATTTATGATACACTGCTCTACAACTCACTAACATGTCCAACTTGTAGTAATGTTCTGAGAATTAACTAATTTAGATTTTCAAAAGACTTCAAAAGGGAAGTGTGCTAAGCATTACCAAGGTGAGAGTTAATTGTCCCTGACCACGTGACAAAAAGACAGGAGCCACTTAGTTTCACTGAGTCAGCAAGATAGAAAGGACAATCTCTGGAACATGGGATCTCAAATAAAGACTGAATGCCAAAAAACTGTAAGGAAAACATACACTGATGAAATCCTTATCCTTAGTATGCATCTGCTACCCAGTGTTAACAGCTACATGCACATTGTTCCAACAACTCTATCCCCTACCATTGCTTCTGTGTGATGACTGGTCCTGCAGGATCCAGTTCATCTTCAGCCCTAGCCATGACATCCTTCCTAACACCAACCAAATACTGTCACTGACACCTATTAATCTCATGTAATGAGACATGTAAGAGACTGAGACCATAGTCTAACACACAATATAACTAAAATATTTGCGTATTAAAATGCGTCAAGCTCTAATCAGTAGCCAGTCTTCAAAATGCACACACACCACAATGGAATTTTGTTTCAAACAGCAGTAGAACACATCTTCCCCGAAAACTTTAAAGCATGAACAGGAAAAGACTCCAAATGCTACTGAGCTACAGAAATGTATGTGTCTCTAGCATTTGGGAAAACATTTGACCTCACACTTCTTAAGCTTGCTGTATCAGCAGTTTATTAAGTTATTAAGGCTTGACCACACAGAGCTTTTGGCCAGTAGGAGTGGAAGTGGACTGTCTGTAAACAAAGCTGAAGTGGAGAGAAATGCTGGGCCTTCCCCTTTCACTTCTGCCTTTCACATGACAAAGAGCCAGATGCTGTGTCACTGCTTCAGGGAAAAGAATGCTGTAGTCTGGTGGCTCTAAACACTGACTATGCAGTAACTCTCCACAGTTACCTTCTCAAATCGGGGGGAAGGGAAGCTCCAGTTCTGAGAAGGAAGAAACAGCATTATGAAGCTTGTTTCTCTCTTAAATCTCCCCAGGCATCAACACCTTTGTAATCTCACATATTTATCAAATATAAAAATTAGTCAATCACAATCTCTGCCATTTTCTGTGATAATAAAATAGTCTGCTAGGGGTATGGTCAGTCTGAAGGGGAATCCCACTTCCCAAAATGTTACAGCCTTCTGCAGGATGCTCAAAGTAGGAGGATCTAACCAAAAAGATTTCAGAAACCCATTTATTAGCACTTCCCTTGCACTATGATCCTTCAAACACATCAGTATGAGACAGATGCATGTTGGCAGCCACCAGTTCAGTAAAGTTTAGGCAGGACTGAAGTTAGATTTCTAAGACTATATGTCTTTAACTCTTCTGCAAACACTTTTAGGTACTCATTTTAAACATATAGGGCAAATATAATATTTTCTACATAAAATATAAATTACTTACCCAGAGATACCCAAATGTTATTTGGATTCTGTGAGACCTGATAAGCACCCAGTCCAGCCAAACTCCCAAAGAAAAGGCCAGCAGCTAGTGATGGAACACTACCTGAATAAATGGAAGATAATGCATTTATAAGAAACTTTAAAATTACCTTGGTCAGCAGCTTACCTGTTTTGCAAAACACCAAAAATTATAAAAATAAAAAAAAAAAGGGCATTCATCATTCATTGTCATAAAGAAGATTGGAGAAGAGGTTTTTTTAAGATATTGAGACCATGCTGATCAGCACCAAGAAACACATCAATTACTCTTGCACACTCTTGCATTACTCTTATGTATCTTGCAGAATTAGTATTTAGTTCTCTAACAGCAAAGCCATTAATACATTCATGACTGAAAGAACAGTGAGAAAACCAAAGAATTGGTGTTTTCCTTGCACAAACATGTTGTTTCAAAAATTATTCAGTATAATGAAAATTCCTTGAGAGGCATTAAAACAGAAGGACTAAGCTGTAAGGATTTAAAATCAGAAAAAAGGACGTCGGTGGAATTGGGCAGGAGGGCATTCAAAGAATTGCCAAGGAGCAGGGGGGAGTTGAACAAGAGAGGTCATATCTCCTAAGTACACCTGAGATTTAATCCAAAGGTAACTGCAGACTTTGGAAGAAGGTTCCCTGAATGCACCTAAACTTTGAATCAAGTCCTCAGTATAAATGATAATCCCAAGATACCAGAAAATAAAGGATACCACATCTAAATGGATGATTTATAGAACATATCAAGTAATGAAGTAGCATGATCACTGTGAGTGGTGAATGCCCTCCATAAGGCTTATGGAGAATTAAGGACTTAATGCTACTAAAGGTGGTTCTTTATACATTCCATTTCTGAGGTCACCTTTCAAAGACTTGAGATTGAAAAGCTAAGCTGATAAAGATCTCCTCTCAATGTTAAAGGAGGACTGCATATTGCTTCCAGAAAGTAATCATTTTTCAATTATCATCAAGGCTGCTGTAATATTGCTTTATATCCTGCTTTTGGTATAAAAAGCAAGAGACAAAGATGATGGAAAGCACCTGAAGAGACAAAGATGATAGAAAGCACTTGTACATGTGCAAGGAAAAGGTGCACACTCTAGTAGGTGGGTGCTTTGCACAGAATATGAGTTAAAAACAAATCTGTGGTAGCTACAATGCTTTCCACAAGCCTGGGAGCCAAGAAACATCCATCATATCCTTGAATTTTACCTCAAGGTATTGTTTAAGTAGCTATGGCACATACACTTATTAGGACAACCACATCACCTCCGGCTGAAGAAGTTCCTACATCTCAAAACACAGGGACCAAGAGAACTTGCTAAATGAAGACAGAAAAATCAATCAATGGATCAATAAATCACTCACTCACTCACTCACTCACTCACTCACTCACTCTTTGATTGCCATGTTCTCATGTCCTTCCAAAGGCACCTACTACTGTCCCGACTGTGTGGATAGATAGATCTGGTTGTAAAAAACCAGATCAGATCAACTTAGCTCTATGCACGAAAGTCCCATTTTCTTTTGGTTTCTCCACGTTCTTAGTAAGGATATAATGGCTCCTTTGTATGGTTGGGGTTTTTTTCTCTCCAGCAGTCACCATACAAGTTTCTGTTCCCCTTCAATAATCCTGTGACCTGGATTCCCTTGCCTGAGCATAACCATGTCCTCCCAATAGGGTTCCAGAGGACAAGAAAGATGCCTATCATTTCATAATGGCCTTGGAGAAATACAGATGCAATTAGTTACTTAAGTTCTCAGTATTGTCCTTTCTGTCCTAAACTCTGCTCACCATCCAAAGGAAAAATCCAAGCAAATGGAAAACAGACTGGAATAGGCACTAGCATCTATGTAGTCAAATCCACTGGTAAGAGTCTTACTGAACTTCAGCAATGCCCCTTCCTATCATAAAAATTGACTTAGGGATTTTCAAAGCTGAAAGAGATAGTGTTGCAGCAGGAGTGAATCCACAGATCTGTCTGGAGGAGGGCAAACTCAGAAAAAGGCCCGGAAATGAAAGCAGTAGGTCAGAGGGTAATCTTATGATGCAGAGCCCAGAAGAGAAACAAGTTTAAGGACTGATTTGCACTGTTCAGCTCTACTTGGAGAAAAGATAGTTCTGAAAGCTCTCTGCAGCTTGCAGTATACTGTTATCATCAAAGATTAAAATGGGAATAAATCTCTTAAGAGGCAAAAGTGGTGATTTATGTCATCTGAAGATACAGAACACTTATAGAATGCTTATATTTTAAACAGCAGGGAAAAAGCCTTTTCCGAAGCAAACTTATGACAGTTCACCCAAAGACCACAGTGCAGATATCAGCATCCACCAGAAAGCAGATTATGGCCTTATCAGCCCGAAGCACCAGCTCAACGCAAATCCACCACACCCCACCAGCAGCAAGTTATCAGCACATGGCACAAACCGATAACATTTACATATGGGTTAACTTCGAGATAAGAGGCTTTCGTAAAAAGCTGCCCAGCTCACACTAAGTTATTGGGGAGAGGGAGGAGGGGGTGGGAGGGAAGAGGGAGGGCGATATAGAAGCACCTTTCGGTACCTTACCTGCTTTTGCATAGCCAATGATCCCTCCTGATGCCACCAGGGCAGCGTAGCCAAAGCCGAGCCAGTCCACTGCCATGCCGAAAACTGGAAGAGAAAACCGGGGTGAAGATCAACATCTCTTAACCTTTTTCAGGGGAAGAAAGGGAAATAAGGCAAAGCATTTTGCCGTGGCGGGCTTTTCCACAAGCAAGGCCTGCCAAAGCCTAAGCGCTGAGGCGAGCCCGGGATCTGAAGCCGGCTCTGTGGGGAAGGCAGCCCGGGGGCACCGGGACACGGCCGGGTCTCACCTGCGCGCCCGCCCCGCTCCGCAGCACCCGGGGCGGAGCAGGCGGCGGAAGGGGAGGCGAGGGAGCCACGCACCGCCCAAAGCTTCCCTTTTCCGGCTGTTCTGGGGAAGGAAAGAAAAGCTGCGAGTGCAAAACCCAAGAAACATTCCCCCCCCCCCCCCCGAGAGGTAGGGCAGGGTACGGCCCGCAGCCGGAGAAGGAGGCGCTGGTGTCTTTCCACCTAGCTGCAGAGCTCCCGGGAATCCCCGGCACGGCTGGTGTGTGACCGGGTCTGTATCAAATGACTCGGTGCAGACCAGGCTTTGTGCTCGTGTTCAGTGAGGGGCAAAGCTCCCGCAGTCATGTGCACCTCATCCATCCCTCATCCAGAAGTGCGTTACGTGGTACAGCTGAGAATTTGGGCTTGGGTTTCGGTGTAACATGAGCTACGACTGTGGGCAGCCTACAGGCTGCTTCTAGCTTTGATCAGTAATTCCAGTATAGTTCTTTTATGGAACACGTAGAGGATTTCTAGGACCTCCAAATTACAAACTCGTACACCAGAAAAAGCCGTCTTCTGCTGTAGAAGTTACAACAGTGGGAGATGCTAGACATCTTGTAAAGAAAATGGTTTTGCTTTTTTATTATTTTTTTTTTTTTAGTCCGGAAAAATGTAGAGGTGTTTATAACTACCTACAAAGGTAAACTCTCCGAGTGCTGAAACTGATTTTCTTCATGTAAATGGTCCTCCATGATTTTACTCCCAATTGTCCATGCACTTTCCTCCCATGGACGCTTCACCATATAGAAAGAAAAAGTACTCCTGTAGCCACGTCCCTAAACTGAGGGGTTTGATTCCTCTTCATAATATAAGGCATAAAACATGAGAGACCTACACTTTCTGCAAAGTGCAGCTTTCCATAGCTGCATTTCAAATTTTGCCATCTTTATGAATTAGCCTAATGGTCAGAACGTGGGGAGCAGTTTAATTCTTTTGTTGGCCTCAGTGGTTTAAGTAGGGATCTCCTCCCTCCCTGCAAAGTGCCAAAACCAACACATATCTAAGCTGGATGGGATTTCATTTTCAATTTGAGCTGTATAATAGCTATGAGGTTCAAGCTTCACTGGGCTCTGCTTTGTGATCCAGCACAGGGATTCCCCAAGAGGGGAAGCAGGAAAACTGGAAGAAATCCACAGCTGCTGGAGCTGTTGAGCTCACCTGGGGCTCAGCTGAGATGCTGCTCCCTGAGCTGCTGTTTCTCGCAGCTCTGGCTCCATCTACTCTCCCAGTGCCATGCTTGCCCACCCTTCTGACACGGACAGCTTTGTCACCGCTGACATCTCCTCTCTCTGCACTGCTGCCTCCTCTCTACCACTCTAAGCAATTCCCTGAGAACTAGGATAGAAAATGTGCTGAAAAGGAAGATGTACACAAAGATATAACAACAAATTGCCAAGTACTCATTAGTAGCAGAGTATCCACGCAAGGAATAAAAAATAAGGGTTTTTCCCCTAAGGACTGTTTTCTCTCTCCAGTTCACAAATTGTTCTGAGTGTCATGAGATACAGGATTCTTTGTTACTACACAGGGTTTTTGGATTTTTACAAATGTGTAATATTTACTTCTAAGTCCAAACTTTAGAACCCAAATTCTGTGGAATTTTTGGTTTTTAATCTTAAAATTATGTGCAGACTGTTTTTATTTTCCCTAGTGCTTCTGCAATTGTGATTACTGTGTCCATAAGCTCACGTATTTAAAAATTCAAACAATAAAAAACTGGTTTAGTAGTGGCAGACATTTTGTCAAGGACATTAGCACTATCAATAGACATAACACTTTACAAGTGAAATCACTGTGTATAGTTCTCTTATTTAAGCTTGTACTTTTTAAGTCTTGTATTTACCGTAGAAACTTCATGAATTAAAAATCTGTTTTGGCACCTTTTTATCAAGTCAACAAACCACTTGAAGTCCTATATTATTTTCATATGTTTGTGAACACAAATATTTAGGGTATCATTAAAATTAAAAGCTATGTAAACTCAAACTCAATCCCTTAATTAAACTGAGCTTACATAAATCAACTATATTGAATATCCAAACAAGGGGCTCTGATAATTTATCTAAGTAAGGAAAACAGTCACAGAAGGTAAATATGGACACCCGCTTCCAAAAGAATACTGCTACTGCCACATGAACAATTCTGTAGCAGCACTGATGATGCTCATTTTGTTTCAGTGTCAGAGCATAGAGCTCAATTGGAGTTACATCCTGGTTTATAACCAGCCTGCATTCCTGTCTCCAGATTTCGTTCAATCTTTTTTTTCTGATTTTCTCTGCTTTTTCTCTTGCTACACAAATAAGGAGGAATGGATGAAGTTAATCAGAATAAAGCATAATTCCAATTACTCTTTGAAAACAGAAGTAGTAATGAGTACTCCAGTAGTGCAGAAAACAACTTTAACATGCCTTACATCTTAAAATAAAGAAAGGAAACATTTAGTTGAGCTCTTTGACCTTGTTCTCTCCAGCTCAACTTTGTTTGTCCCACTGTATATTTGTAATAAGGCTTAGGATAAATTCCTGTTCCCACTGACTGAGAAGGTCAGGAATTTGCTTTTTGTTTAAGTGCAAGCGAAAAGAGATAGGTGACATTTTATCAGCATGGCAAAAATTTCAAGTGTTATATAATTCTTTTTTAACAACATGTCTCAGATCAAGGACTTGAAAAATACAGTGGGAAGGGACAAGAAAAGGTAAAACTTTATTGATATAAACTCTTCCCCCTAAAATTAGGTATCATATTCTGAACAAAATGTTTCAGTCATATGAACCATGGGTGCAAAGATTTTTTTAAAATTAAAATAGATTAAGTATGAACACAGTAAAAAAGCCAAATATTGTGCTTATAAAGTCCATGTATAAGTCCAATCCAAGTTCCAATCAAGATGTAGAAATTACAGTTTTCCAGAAGAATGGGATGTGATCATCATATTTTAAGTAATTTTAACATGTTCTTACTTAACAGTAGGAAAAGAAATTCAGGACAAAGGCAGACCATACCTTGAGTCAAATGAACAGTAACATTTTTAACACTAAAATGAAAAAGTGTACATGTTTTTAGTATACATTTAAGTGAAATAAAATGTAGCTGAGACAGATGTAGCTATTTTTATTATTTTAGCTGTTTTTTTCAGAGCCAGTTAAAAAGTGTATGTTATTGTTAATAGAAAAATATAAACATTACATATTATGAATTTATTTTTGCTGTGTTCACTTAGGGAAAGTTCTCAGAATGATCAGTCAGTTTATTAGAGTAAAAACATTACTTTTAAACAACACATCCAGTCAGAGCATATGTCCTGTTAGGATTTACATTCTTATAAAAACTAGGGCAACACCAGCATTTACTTTTTATACGGGAGAGAAAGCAGCTGCCTTCATGCCGAGCTATTCTGTTTCTTTTTCTTCTTTTGCACTGGAGCTTTCAGCTTTTGTTTCTCAGGAATAGCTTTTCTCTTTCTTTTTGCTATTTTAGCCCTCTTAGTCGTCCAAAAATCTTTGTCTATCCTGGCTATTGATGATTTTTCATCTTCTGTTTCTGAAAAAAAAGGAAGGAATTATTCACACTGACTTTTATGTCCCATCTTTGCAGTCTAAATGAGACTTATTTGTACCTCATTTTTCAGAAAGGGTTATAAATAACTTTTTATTTTACAGTGCAAAGTGCTATTTATGATAGTTTTGTCTGTGAAATTAAAATATATAAAGATCAAGCATGTAAATAGATTACAATGCAGGAAAACAACAGCAGAAAACCCAAACGAATCTGAGCTAGACTTCATAAGTTTGCCCAGCTACAGGGCCTCAGGCCTAATTTTACTTATAGGTAAACAATACATGCAGTTCTAGCAACTGTTTATTTTCTTATCTGTCTCAAAAGGTTCACAGTGGCTTCCTCAGTATGTTATTCCAGTAAACAGAAATAAAACTTTAATAAAAGTGAAAAGAGGCTTATGTTCTCCAACAAACATATGGGCTTGAGACACTATCAGATTGGTAAGTGTATCTGTATCACTTGCCAGCATCATTTCCCCATTTCTTCAAAATACCAGGACATTTTCCAAGGGATATGGTAGAAACCTCCCACTTGGTGTATTCTATTTCACAGTCACATGAGCAACTCAAAATACCTTGAGATGACGTTGCAGTTTTATCAGAGTTTTCTTTCATTTCTGAAGCTTGGTCAAGCCATACTGCAAGACATGTCAGCCTAGCTTTGGTATTGACTTCACACAGTAAAGATGGCCCATCTTTAATCTGAAGAAAACAAAAAAGAAGATTACTTTAACTTTATTTTATTTCTAAATTTAATCAAGTATTTGAAGTGAGAAAGCATCTTACTGCCCACTTTCATTGTTAGGCCATTGTATCACTCAGCCCTTGGAATACAAATATTCTATTACAGATATCAGGGGATAAAGTGTCAAAGACACATGTGCAGTGTTAACAGCACCAACCCACTGGAAACAACTGTATTAGGATAGTTTCCCCCTCAGAGCTGGACAGAGGAGCCCACACAGTAATGCAAAACTTCGCCTGCAGGGAAATGGATTTGGTCAAAATAAATACAGTGTTACACAGAAAGGTAAAGAGTTCCCTGATCACTCTGTCAATTCTGTACAACAAGTATAAAAATAATCAGAGTGGCTGAAATTAAAAACAGGCAGATTCAGATTTGAAGTGTATATATGTTGAGAAATAATTATTTGAACTATCCAAGATACTCATTATAAAATATAGTAGATCCTTTGTAACTAGGCAATACATTTTAAAAATCTATTTCTGATTTTAAAAGCAAACAATAAACACACTAAACTTTAAAAATAAGATGATTCCTTGTTGAACTGTGCTACTCAGACCTGTTTGAAAATACAAATACCCAGTACATTTATGTATATGAATTTTTCCAAAGGATAAGTTCTTCCCCTGACATGAACAACCACCTTCCCCAGCCCAAACTATAGACTTTGTGTTTT